AGAGATGTTAAACAGGACAAACCCCAGGGCAGACCTTGTGAGATCCCACAGGGCACCAGCCTCCAGGCAGATACGGCCCAGTGACCATCTCCTCTGAGTCCAACCATCCAACCAAGTAGTCCTCTGGGGGGGCCACCCACACACCTCCCAACATCCAGCTTGGTTACAGGGACATTATGGTAGGGTGCTGGAAGTCAGATAAAATTGTATCCTGCTTTTCACATATCCACAAATCCAGTCATTTTATCAAAAAAAGTAATGAGATGGGTGAAGCATTTTTCACTTTGTCAAGCTGTGCTCTCGGCTGCCAATCACCTTCTTCCTCATGTGGTAAGATATGAGCTCTAAGAGGACACATGCCATGATTTTTTCAGGTACCTGAGTAAAACTGGTCAAGCTACAGTTCCCCAGACTGTCTTTTGGCCCTTTTCTATTTGTCTAGGGCCTCATACATCTGCATGACAATAGAGACAGAAATATCTAAGAGAAGAAAACAATTATCAGTTGCCAGTTCTGTATTGCTGAAGTAGAAATTTCTCTTTCCTCTGATATTTTGCTTTGAAAAGCTGCCCTATGTTAATTGAGAGACAGAAGTTCTTGCAGGGTGGCTCTATTATTTTACTTAGAACTGAAGTCACGCTTACTTGATGGTCATTGTCAGGATTCTGTCCTTTTTTTCATACCTCCGAGCTTTAACTGAAAGTCTTCTGTGTTTGGAATCTCTAGACATACACATGAACGGCAGGACTTTGAAAAGCAAGATAATTACTTCCTTTAGTCAAAATATCATGTGAAGAACTTTGTAAATAAGGACAATCTGCAGTGTAGTTTCCTTGGTGTTTTGTCCAAGCAGCAGGTTTAACAGGAGCTCTGTCTCAGGACAGAGATAAATAACACAACCATGTTCTACTCATGGGCAAAAAACCTTCTCTGCACTCTAACGCATATGGTTTGTGCCTCCTCACTGTTGAAGAGGACAAAGGACATGCTTTGTAAGTTCTGATGAGACAACAGAGGTGAGCAACATGCCTGTATAAGATAGTCCTCATGCTTTGGACCACGTTCCTTTATCTTCACAGATCTGAGAATAGGAAGAGAATGGTCTGTAACACCTTTTCCCAGAAAAGAATGCAGTGTCGAAGTCCTGGCATTCTATATTGGCATATCATACTGCTGGCTTAGGGATTAGAACATCACCAAAATGCCTATTCTGTTTTGGAATAAAACTGACATTACAGCATACTAGTATATAGACTTGGAATATCCTCTGTGGTCCTCACAAGCCAGGCATTCCAGTGGACATCTTTCTGTGCTACCTTTATAGGTATGCAAAGACCAGGAATACAGTGCGACTAAAAATGCTCTAAAACACTACTTCCCTTTCAAGTCAAACTGGAGGAAATAAATTCACCATTTTCTTTTAAATGTAAGGAAATAAAATCTTGAAGAAAGGTATTCACTGACTGCTAGATAAAATACATGGGATTAAAGCTTTTTAAAAGTAGAGGCTAAATTCATATTCGAGCACATCAGAGACACAGCAAGTGCCAGCAGTTTCAGCCTGAAATAAGTCCTTAACAGAAATGGCAGAAGCTAAGTAATATATGACTTTCATCAATGACATCAACATCCCAGTATAATTTTTAATTTAACAAGAAGAAAGATTTTTCCTTTAATTAAAAGGATAAAAGACAATTATGTTATCAGATACAGACCAGAAATTCTCTGAAAAAAATCAGCAACAGTTAAAGTCAAAACTTGTGTATGAATTTTATTTTATTTGTTTCCTGAGCAAGATTTACAACACAACATGCAGATATATTTAACAATGTACTTCACTACACATTCTGCACTTGTGACAGTGCACTTGTGACAGCTGTGCAACAAAAGCAGCAATTGAGAGAGTTTGTAGTTTTTAGTAATTTCAAAGTGACAGGATCTTCAGTAAACAAATATCTTGATTGTTAGTAGTGTCAGTGTTAAGTTTCCAATACCTATCAAGCTGAAAGGTTTAATTTCAGCAGCAGATTTAAAGCTCCTTAGATTTTGGCACAACTTCTACGTTAGAAGTTTCAGCAGTGCTTATTAAATTTCTTTCACTATCTTAGACATGACAGTAAAAACTTAAGCAAAATCAGGCTCTTTTCTAATGCCTCAATTAATTGAAAACACAGAAGGGAACGGGAATGGTAGGAAGACTAACAGAATCTCAGCACAAGTTACTTATGTCAGCATAATTCTGACAAGTTCTTTTGATGAATTGCCAAGCTCACTGCAAGAGTCCTACATGCATGTACAGCAAAAAGATGGCTCCACAAAATGTAATTACTTTTGCAACCAGGTAATGCTGATGATGCTCATTGACAAAAATGGTGTGCAGTTGGGGATAAATTCCATGTCTTTCAGAAGCTCTAAACATTTAATTGCAAATCTCTGTCTTTCAGAAAATGTAAGGAAATTTTTGTAAGGAATCTAAATAAAGGACAGTATTTCTTTTAAAATCCAAGTATTAGACATTTCAGGAAAAGTTGTGAATCTAACTTCTGTTAACTTTTATGCCTCACTGCATGAAAGTAACACTAAAAAGATATCTTGAAAACAGAAACCTGTTAACCAAGGAGTGTTATAAACAGTGTAAGCCATAAAGCAATCATGGCTTCTCCAATCACAAGTGCAGCTCCTTCACAATGAATACTGAGTTATGACTTTATACTGAAGCATGACACAAATTCCTGTGTTTGTCCAAAAAGAGAAAAGATACAACAACATGCAGTACAGATGTACCCCTGATTTCAGTGCAACACACATCACCAAAAAAAAGTCTGGATTCAACTGACACCACATCACTCTACTTTCTACTGAGAAAGAAAGGTTGAGGCATACAAACAGAAAATGTGTTTTTATTTTCAAATGAAGATGGGAGGTGTGCTAAGCTGAACTAAGAAGGTAGTCAAGCTTAACAACTAGAATTAACTTAGTAAAATACTAATCACATTAGTTCATAGCTGTGCTCATCTCTGAATTAAAGATTGCTAAATATATTATTAGTGATGTAAAATTAAAAAAATACTGGTTTATCTTTTAGTTTGTCCATTACCTTGGTGTTCTTTGGGAAGGTTTAATACTTTAATTTGAATGTTTTGTCAAGCACTGGAACAGGCTCCCCAGGAAAGTGGTGGCATCACCGTCCCTGGAAGGGTACAAAAAATGTGTAGATGTGGCACTTAGGAACATGATTTAATGGTGGACCTGGCAGTGCTGGGTTAATGATTGGACTCAATGATTTGGGAGGTCTTTTCCAATCCAAATGATTCTATGAACTTTATTGAAATTGACAATGGAACTACCAGTAGCAGTTTACAGACAAAAAGATTGACAAGTGCTGTGGAATCATAGAATCATAGAATCAGAAGGGACCTCCGAGATCATCAAGTCCAACCCTTGATCCAACACCGCCGTGGTTACTAGACCATGGCACTAAGTGCCACATCCAGTCTCATCTTAAAAACCTCCAGGAATGGAGAATCCACCACTTCCCTGGGCAGCCCATTCCAATGCCTGATTACCCTCTCTGGAAAGAATTTCTTCCTAATATCTAACCTAAACCTCCCCTGGCACAGCTTAAGACCATGCCCTCTTGTCTTGCTGATAGTTGCCTGGGAAAAGAGACCAACCCCACCTGGCTACAACCTCCTGTCAGGGAGTTGTAGAGAGTGATGAGGTCACCCCTGAGCCTCCTCTTCTCCAGGCTCAACAACCCCAGCTCCCTCAGCCTCTCCTCATAGGACTTGTGTTCAAGTCCTTTTACCAGCCTCGTTGCTCTTCTCTGGACCTGCTCCAGCTCCTCAATGTCCTTCCTGAACTGAGGGGCCCAGAACTGGACACAGCACTCCAGGGGTGGCCTCACCAGTGCTGAGTACAGGGGAAGAATCACTTCCCTGGACCTGTTGGCCACACTGTTCCTGATCCAGGCCACGATGCCATTGGCCTTCTTGGCCACCTGGGCACACTGCTGGATCATGTTCAGCTTCCTGTCAATCCAAACTCCCAGGTCCCTCTCTGCCTGGCTGCTCTCCAGCCACTCTGTGCCCAGCCTGTAGCACTGCAGGGGGTTGTTGTGGCCAAAGTGCAGCACCTGGCACTTGGCCTGGGTGAACCTCATCCCGTTGGAATCAGCCCAACTCTCCAGTCTGTCCAGGTCCCTCTGCAGAGCCCTCCTGACTTCCAGCTGATCGACACTCCCCCCCAACTTAGTGTCATCTGCAAAGTTGCTGATGGTGGACTCAATCCCCTCGTCCAGATCATCAGTAAAGATATTAAACAGGACTGAGCCCAACACTGATCCCTGGGGCACACCACTAGTGACCGGATCCCAACTGGATGCAGCACCGCTCCCTACCACTCTCTGGGCCCAACCCTCCAGCCAGTTCCTAACCCAGCACAGAGTGCTCCTGTCCAAGCCGTGGCTGCCAGTTTTTTCAGGAGTATGCTGTGGGAGACACCAAGTTTTCAGTTTTGTGTTTTGGAAGAGCTCCATAATGCTGGATCGCTGCACACTTCACTGCAGGATGTGTACAACAACACATGACAGAGTATCCTGGTTGGCACTTACATGCACAAAGCTGCTTGAATAATGACCTAGTTCCCACATGCAGCATGCTGCTGTTTAGGCTGCTAATAATCAACAGCTTGCACACAATAGTACCTTGTAGTATATTAAAAATTCCAAACATTTAAATGCTCTAAAAGAAGGAGCCAGTGGTGTTAAAAAGGGTGGTAAGGGAAGTCATATTTCAGATTTGTACCACATACATATGAACAAATACTTTTAAAAACTCTTTGAAACTCTTGGAAAGCGCCTAGTCTGAAACCTCCATGATTGGAGACGACATACATATTATTTTCTGTGGAAACACTGAAACTACTGACACAGCAGAACAGGGAAAAACTGACATACACCTGAAGAAAGTCTCTGGGGAATGAAAATTAAAATGCTTCCCTTTATTGTACACCAAAACATGTTCAGATTTATCTACTAAGCCAATATGGCCAAGGATCCTCTAGTAACATTTACTTTTACAGTTAAGAAAAGCACATAGAAGAGACAAATGCATTAAAATAACCATGCTTGTCTAGCTAAGCTGATATACCCTCTAACAAGATCCCTCCTGCTTTGGACACACCTTAGTGTTACTGAGCTCCTGAGGCCACATCCTCAGTCGTCAATGATTGTCACCAGTGTGGTGTCACACTGACAGATTCCGTGCAATATCAGACATGTGGAGAACTTTAAAACGTCATGAGCATATCACGTTCTTGTACACTGGTATAGAATGGCCTCCCAAAGATGAAGGAATGTAGACCTGGTTTAATCTTCTCAGCCAATGCCATTATTATGTTAAGATCGCCCTCTGCTGTTAAGTCAAGATCTACCTTCAAGTTACGAAGAGACTTAAAAGGTTTTTTTCCTTTTTGCCTGCAAGACAATAAAAACGTGAGTTGTAAAAAAAAGCATAAGAAGTTTCTCAGAACCTGATTTCTATTATCTGTTCACTTACGTGTCATCCTCTATGTATTTTATTAAAGTTAAGGCTTTTCTGTGCAAGACCAGCAGAAATTGTGCAAGGAAAGTACTCCTTAGAGACAAGCCAGGCTTCAGGTGAAAGATCTGTCAAAAATTATATCAAAATATTAGGTAGACATGGAAATTCGAAAACCATTTTAAGAATGTGGAAAATAAAGAGACATGGCAAACACATGTAACATATCCTTAATTATTTTACATACAGTCAACCTGCTTGCTTAGTTTTCTATCTGCTCAGATGCAATACATTAAGCTGTTTTACAATTCTGTTTGGATACAATATTATTTTTCTTTTAAGTTAAAATTATCTGAAATTATTCTCAGTCAGGTAGCTTTCTCAATACTGTAACTGTTGACAGTGTTGCACAACAATAGAAAATGTGCATTGTTTTTCATACCTAAGCAGGAGTTTCAGTATTATACCAATATTTTTCTTTCTACTTATGTAGAGACGAATCACAGCAGGAGTATGACGAAGAGCTACCAAACCAACAAATGACCTATTCACATTACATTATCTGTTACTACAGCTCAAAGTACTGAACTTTAGCTCTTATTCTTTCTGAAAAAACAACAATTACCTGATCCAGAAAAGCTTTTACTAAAGTATCTCGATGCAGGATATCTTGAAAGACATTTCTGTAGAAAAGAAAGGAAACAAACATGTGAGGTAATACCATCAAGGGACCCTAACCTTCCAGCATCTGAGCACAGCAATAGCATTACTGTTTACAATCTGGTTGAAATTAGAAGTGAATTTAAAATTTTAATGGTTTCTGATATTTTTAAAGCTAATGCAGAATTTTAAAGCAAAACATTCAGATGAAATGAAATAAACCCAGGAAAGTCACTGCACTTAGCCCTGTTATAACCCTAATTAAACAGGTAATAAATTAACATAAAATGGTCAGAATTATCACTGAAAATGAATTTCAACAATATTTAATGCAATAAAACTACTGCAGGACTTGATAAATTCCTCCAAATCAAATGTAACTACCAGAGCTGAAAGAGCTTCTCAAAAGCAAAAAAAATTTGTGTACTTTATTAGCAAATGGGCTTTCTACTCATTCACTCTCCTGTCCCAAATCAAGTCACTTCGTGAGATGTGAGAGGAGTACGTACAAATCAGGTGTAAAACTCTCATCAGTGTGGATAATATGATCTTGAGACATTTCTTCATCTGAATTAGCTCTCCAAAATGCTGTCAGCTCTGATCTCATGTATCGTCGTTGGTTATAGATGTGCTCATGACAAGGGGGCATTTGCTTCACTGTATTGACATCCACATCTATATGTGTGGTAGGGTATGGGGCATACATTACTTGACGGAAGGGCAACACGAAGCTTCCTGTTGCATCCTGGTTTAGTGAAAAAAAATATTATTCCAGTTGAAAGTGCGAAGCTGTACTGAACAAAACAATATTAAAGCATCATGCCTAAATTTTATACCCCAACTGTTGAAACATATTTTATTTAAGAGAACTGGTGGCTGTATCCTAGTAATAAGTCCTTAATACTGGATGATTCCCTTAAAATAACAGTGAAAACAGGCACTGAGGTGACCTGTGTATTACAGTATATCATTACCTGGCTCATAAGCCCATTAGCATTACAATACTATATTTAGCTGGTAAGTTCTGACTGCTCACCAGAGCAAGAGGCATTGTTTTTCTATTCATCTTCACACATTGTTGCAGCCTATTTAAAATATTTGGAAACTGCAAGACTGATGCAACTGTTCCTTCTTCGGTTTTGGTACAACACAAAAACTTAATGCCTTTTGGGATTCCAGCACCAAGCAGACAAAAGAGTATTATTATTGTACCTCAAAGTACAGGAACAATTCTGAACAATCCTCAAGAAACAGATTGGAAAAGACTGGCTGGGAATTTTAACATGCAAATAGTTACATGGAAAGCCGCAGGACCAGAAAAGAATCAAGGGAAGATGACATATTTCTTGGAACATGAATGTGTGTATGTGTATGCGTATCGTATGCACAAACACACTGGAGGATGTTCTTTAACTACAGAAGAACAAACTTTTCTACGTATACTTACTTTAAGCAAGCCTTGAACAAAAAGTCCTGACTCGTATTTGAAAGACGACTCACTTCTACAGAGCCTGGAACACTTTCGTTCAGATGGTGTAAGAAACAGACACAATGTTCTCACAATCTGCATTAAAAAGAACAGTTTTGAAAAACTTTAAAATGTAAGGAAGAAAGTCTGACTAGACTGTGTTAGGCACTTCAAATGATGAACAAAAGTTGATGATACTTACAGAAAAGCCAAAACTTTACCAAGGCCACAGAACAGTGACAAGCTTACATTATTAAGCTGTACGCCATGCTATTCCAACTTCTTGTCAAATGATGAAAAAATCCAACACTCTTTTGCAAAGTGTGCTTTTCATCCAATTATGTAGAACAAATCACTTTTGCCTTCTTCTACCTCTACTACATAAACATGAGCCACTGTGATTACTTTCCTAGCCTTTTAAGTCTCTTGTTTTATTCATTCCCTATTGAAATAGCAGTTATTGTCTCAAATCAGGCAAGTCAATTTCCTAAATAAGTACCCATGCTTATTTCCTCAGTAATTTCCTTAAACTCTCAATTAAAATGAATACAGGTACTTCATTATCCATTTTCAAACTCCTGAAACAGCTAGCAGTAATCACTCCAAATACAACATGTATTACATTCTGCTAATCTTTCAGTCTTTACCCGCAGTGTCCTATCTGCGTCTGAGGTATTTGAAAAGGCTCTATCTTGCACAATGTCTTTCTGCAGTATCTAAAACAATGACAACAGAGTTTTTGACTGATGCTTTTCGCCACAAGATGCCACAGGTGTTTTTTACTTCAAGGCACGCTAAAGTATGCCATTAAGGAAGCAATTACTTCAGAACAGTTGTACCGTGACACAAGGAGCATGCTGCTGATAAGAACACATGTAGAATTAATGTATGAAATTTACCCTGGATGTATCTTGAGTCTCACACTCTTTTACACTGTTTTTTTTCTATAGTGTTTAGCTTATTGATACATAATTTTACATATTCATAACCATTTAGACCTTAATTCCTTTTCATTAACTATTTCATGATCTGTAGGCTTTTTCTAACTACCTACACCTTTAACATTTCCTTATATTATATATAGTATATGTGTGTGAGTATGTATATAACATAACATTTCCAATAACCTAATAGTGTGTAAATCTTACATCTCTGAAAACTTACATATTAACTATGGTTAGCTGATTTCAGCTAAGATCTGAGAATTTTCTTCTCTCTGGTTTCCCTGTGAGTTTCCGCAGTTATTGCTGATTTGACCAGAGGTGCTTTAACACCATTGCTAATACATATAAAACAATGCATCCCCTCTGCCCCAATTTTTATAAAGGGTCATGAACTGTTTCTTTTAAAACACAGGTTTACTAAAGATGCTTTGAATTTTAAAAAAAACCCTGTTATATTTCTTTATGGAAAGGAGACCTGCATACTATGAAACACATAATATATAATATATATAGTTTACAAGTAATGTATAATATATTCAGCAGGCCCACTGTTTGCAATTTTTTTTCACACTGAAGAAATATATGTAGGTTCCACGAAACACAAGCAGCTCATGATGCAGAAGTATGTTTATTGCCCACTGCTAAGAGGAATTACGCAGATACTAATTGCTTAAGAGTATACAGACAATACTAATTGATGTGATTATTGTCTGTATACTCACTGTTAGCAGTGTTCCCCAGGACTCAGTTTTGGGGCCGGTCCTGCTTAACATCTTTACTGATGATTTGGACATGGAGAGTGAGTGCACCCTCAGTAAATTTGCTGGGTGAGAGTGTTGATCTGCTTGAGTGTAGGAAGGCTCTGTAGAGGGACCTGGATAGACTCAATCAGTGGACAAAGGACAACTGCATGAGGTTCAATAAGGTGAAGTGCCAGGTCTTGCAGTCGGGTTACAACAACCCCCTGCAGCGCTACAGGCTGGGGGAGGAACGGCTGGAGAGCTGCTCAGCAGAAAGGGCCCTGGGGGTGCTGGTTGACAGCCGGCTCAATATGAGCCAACAGTGTGCCACGTAGCCAAGAAGGCCAATGGTATCTTGGCCTGTATCAAGAACAGTGTGGCCAGCAGGATTAGGGAAGTGATCATCCCCCTGTACTTGGCACTGGTGAGGCCACATCTTGAGTACTGTGTCCAGTTCTGGGCCCCCCACTTTAAAAAGGACACTGAGGTGCTGCAGCATGTCCCACGAAGGGCAAGAAGGCTTATGAAGGGCCTAGAAAACATGAGGAATGGCTCAGGGAGCTGGGTTTGTTTAGTCTCAAGGAGAGGAGGCCCAGGGAGCACCTCATCATTCTCTACAAGCCCCTGAAAGGAGGTTGTAGCCAGATGGGGGCCAGCCTCTTTTGCCGTGCCTGCAGTGAGAGGACAAGAGAAAACGGCCTTAAGCTCAGGCAGGGGAGATTCAAGCTTAATATTAGAAAAAAAATTTTCCCTGTTAGGGTGGTCAGGCATTGGAATAGGTTTCCTGGGGAGGTGGTGGAGTCACCACTCTTGGCGGTGTTCATGAGGTGTCTGGATCTAATGCTGAGTGACGTGGCTTAGGGGTTACAGTGGCAGTGCTGGGTGGACAGTTGGACTTGACCATCTTAAAGGTTTCCTTCCCCCTTGATGATTCTATGACATAGCTGAAATGGACAAGCCAGTCACATCTCCTAACAGTTAGCATTTAAGTTCAGCTTTTGGAAAGTACGTTACCTTATTTACTTTTTCTGCACTGCTTCCTACGACTACTGAACAACCACAGGTCTGCAGGTGTGAACTAATTGCACTGCAAGTAAAAACAAACATAGGTTAAAACACTTAATCAAACTTTTCAAATGAAACAATTGACAAGAAGAATAAAGTGCTCCTATAGCCTATAGGCCCATAACCGTAGGACTTTCAACAGTTGTGTAGGTAACTGCTGAAATCCAAAATTTCAACAGTTTCTGCAGTATTGAAAGCATGTGACACTGTATAAATAGAGGGCACTAAGCACTACATAAATTAATACAGTTACACAGGAGATGTTATGAAAAGTAAAAGAACATCAATTAAAACCTATGAAATATGCTTTCCCGCAGGAAGAGACCAAGTTGCTCTCAAGTTCAACTAGTTCCACTTAAACATTAAAAACAGGGCAAAAAGAGAAATACACAATTCATAAGCACTCTATACACCATACCATATTTATACACAACTCAGGTTTTTTGCTATTTCATAAAAATGTAAGACTTTGACTTACAGTCTCAAAAAATTAAATATAAGTATCAAAGAAAAATTATATTTGTATCTTTGACAACCATCTACAGAGATGCAGCTATTAGCCCAGAGCCATTATTCTAAAAACACAGAAGCCTTTATAGCATTTTATAGACAAAAATCTCAAAAAGCCAAATACATGTCACTGTCCCCCCTCCTAAACTATTCCAATACAAGTTCACATGCACATACAGATAGACACATTTAGATGCACACACAAGTTTAAACCATTTTACTACACCATAAATCAAAACTGAATTTCATACTTGAGAAGAAAGCCTTCATGGCAACTATCCCCAATGTCATCATCATTGAGCACTGTGTCACTTATCTGAAATACAAGTAAATATATAAAAAAGTTAGACAAGGATCTGAAACATCTTCCAATTAATTGATTTTCACTTTTATTGATAGTTGGGAACTTTTGGGGAACTATTTAGGTTGCAGGATTTCTCTAAAAAGCACAACCTTAAAAAGACCTTCTGACGTCAAAGAATTTTAAAAATGAGAAAGTCACTTGGTTATTACATGTTCTTCACCAGTCACAAGTCAGGTTCCTCCTAGTGTTTTTTTATTTCTACGACCTTGTCCAGAACACTTTAATTTAGTGAATGTCAGATCACTTCTACTTCTTCCATACAGTGAGAACACTATAATGCGCTGCAAAAGGTATCAAAATCAAATCCATTTATCTGTCCATTCATTTTGGTTTGCATCAAATAGTCTTTGCGATCTTAAAACGGTATCATCCTAAGCAGTTAATTTTGCTAAGTGCTGACCATAAAAACCACTGCCATTCCCTACACCACTTCGAAGAACTTGATGTGAGACAAACTTACAAGAATTTAGGAAAACAGCCGCCTTTTCTCTGCCAAAGTGAGTATCAAACCAGAGGGCCAAATTTACTTTTTTTATCCAGAGGGCTAAAGCCACTTTTTTTATTCAGAATATAAATAAAACAAGGACTTACATCTATTTCTTCTGGAACACTGTGTGATTTCATAGATGAAAGGAGTTCCATTACAGGAATGACTTCTCCTGTCAGCATTGGAATGATGCTCTGGCCCTGCACAATAAATAAAATGCTTGAAGAAAAAGCACATTGGGTAGTATTAGAAGTTACTAATATGAACTTGCTATATAACATGCAAAACATTGTTAACTTCCTATTATTTGGAAGGGTGGTATGAGCAGAAATCGATGTATAGACTTCTTAGGCTTTACTCATCAATAGACATGAACTGGAAACACATATTTGGCTTTCCAACATCATGTCTCAAATATATTTCCAGGGTCTTATGCTAATTTTCACAATCACTTTTGAGGGACCTAGATAAGAAGTATTTGGAGTGAGCTGATCTATCATCCTATATTACATGCAACCACTGTCAAGCATTTTACATCTAAGTCTAATGTTTTAACAGTAACAGGAAACCAAAACCAGGCATATTAGTAATTAACATACAAAAATACTTCTCTGATTTACCTATCACAAGAAACTGAAGCCACAATTTCACATTTAGAGTTTCAGAAATCAAATTCTTCTCACAGTCTTATCCATTAGGTCTCCAACCACATTCCAACATGACACTGTACATCTCTGTAACTCAAAAAGGTGACCTAACCTAGTGAAAAACCAACCTTGATAGGAAGCCGGCATGACTCTATGGAAGCTCCTGCCTTTATAGAGCTTCACGTTCAAGTACATGACTTTCCTTCTGAAAGGTAATATTCTTCACAGATTTCCCTAAAGTGATGAAATATATTTTCCTTCTACTTGATCACAGCTCCCATCATCCTATCTTCAAAAACTTTGAATCCTGTGCATGGCACATCATCAGCTAGTCCACAGTATCTTCCTGGATCCCAAAAATAAGCAGCAGTTCTACAGTCATCAGATGTAGCCAAACAGTTTTGCGATGGTGTGCCATATGCATGAACCAGGTGGCCCTTACCTGATCCTCCATTCTTTCTGTGCCTTCCAAGACAATCTTCTGGAAATGTTCTTGCCTCTCCTGAGCAAGAGAAGCAGTTAGATACAAATGCTCTGTTATTTGTTTATGTATGTATGCACACAACAGTCAAAGGGTACAGTTTCTTCCCTGTGGAGTCACGCTTCTTAGATTCAAATTTTGATGTTCAAGTCTCTTCTCTTTTACAGAGTTGACTTTAGCAGAAGTGATGTCATGCAACAAAGATCAACACTCCCTGCTCTGCCCCCCATCAAACCTCTCCCACGTTTGGGCAGGAGTAGCAGGATAGGGAGCGTGTGATGACAATGACAAAACATGACGTTTCTTCATTACAGATCAAGAAAATGCCAAATGATCGGATTATGGCGAGGAATTCCATTTTATGTATGAGGGTTCCTGATGCAGCAAGAGAAAAATAAGATCTCCAGAATGAGAAAAGTTATTTGACTGGGGAGGGTAGGAAAAAAGGACTTTTTTCCCCCACCTCTTGAGACACTGACACGTTTTCAAAACATTGTCTTATAACCAAGTACAGGAGACATGAAACTCAAAATACACAAAACACAATGTACAAGAAACTGAACAAAGCTCTGAAAACAGACTCATCAGCAGCTGAATAGCAAACAGCATTAAAAATGAACTTAGAATGGAATCAAGTTACTATTCACAAAGAAAATTCAGCATTAATCACTGGAGCAATCAAAACACAGAAAACAGCAGATGCTGAGTGAACTAATAATATGTTTTGCTAGAAGTTGACAGGTTATTGCATTTTTATTGGTTACTCATTAGTTTTCTGTGACCAATCTTCTTCTTCTGTGACCAAAGTTAACCAACTTCAAGTGGGAAAAGAGTTTTCAAGGGGGTTTTTTTGAGTAGATGAATAAGGAATAATCTAGAGTAACTTGTCCTAAAACTTGCCCTAACCATCCAGAAGACACATCTTTGGAAAACAATACTGAAACAAGCCAGATTCCTTCATATCACCTCTGCCCTTCAGTTCAGTGTCAGAGAAGTAAAACATCCTTGACAATGATTTTAAAAGAAGTCAGTCTTCATGAAGATAAGGTTGAACAAATGGTGTAAGCCACTTCTTTTTGGAAACATAACTCCTCAAAATTATTAGACAAACATCTAGAATATAAATTGAAATAGATGAAAAAGGTTTCTAATCCCATATTGATGACTTGCTTTAGAGTTGCTTGTCCTTCTGTGACACTCTGAACACTGCTCCATGTTTCTCCTAATCCTCAAGTTCAGAAGGCTTCTTCTTGTCTCAAGTCTACCTGGAACTGCTGTCTGCCTCTACACAGAACCAGTGAGAGCTGATAATTACAACTATTAGAACTTCCAGAACAGATAGACAGCTCCTTTCAACATTTTTTGTTCTATTTTATATAACCATAGTTGTTGAACTGCCTCAAAGCACAAACTACAAAATGAACATGTTTTAATTCATTATTATTCTACAACTCCTACCTAAATTTTTATCTACATTTTCAAAGCAGTTTTCTCTTCTATATTTAAAAATGAAGAACTGCAGATATATCCAGGGATCTTTGATCTTCCTTAAAAAAAAAAAAAAGACACTAAATATCTATTTCAGAATGTATCAGTCTCTCAGCTAACCCAGCTGACCAATCTGCTACAAGAACATCTGAAAAAGAACAAAGAACTTAATGACTAATTTCTGAGGAAACTAGCAGAAAACATTTTTTTGTCATTTTCAATGCCACTTGATGGCTACTTCCACCGTGAAAACATACTGATATGGATCAATGTCCAAAAACTGAGAATGATGGATAATTCTTATTTGACCACCCATGTTAGAAGTCAGTACAGAGGGCACTAAATGACAAAAGCAATGTAATCAGGAACATGAGATGGCATTCACTTATGTCAAAAGCACTAACATTCAGCAGGCTTTTAGAAGATTGTATTAGGAATGAAATATTTGTGTTTCTACTGTATTGAAAATGAACTTTATGTATTATCCCTCCACTAAAAAGTAAGCCCTAGAAGTACGAAAAGCCAATGTGATGGAAAGCACTCCCAGTCATCATCAGGCAATACAGCAAAAAGGAAACACCACCACAAAAATTAACATCGGCTTGTTACTTCTGTAATTTAATTAGTTCAGATAAGAGCACTCAAAAAGGAAGTTTATAGTATGTTGACTGCAGATGGTAGAACAGAAGAGGTACAAAAACTTTATCAGACAAGTGAGCATTGGCATACACATTACAGCTGACATGCAATCTACTGTTCTAAGACAACCAGGATACCATGAAGATGACAAACATTTTAATTTTTATTATTAGACTGTTACTTATTTTAAAGAAAAATACATAACAATTTTCACTTAATAAGGAAATATCCATAGTGTACCCAAAAGTCAGAGTTCCAATTCTTCAGAAAAATTTAGCATGTTTTCCTTTTTGAGTTTCACAAGTAAATGTATTTTTGTGGTTCTTCCTTTAGTTCTACACAGTTTAACTCCTGCCAAACTGTTTGTTAATACTCTTGTTTTGAAAAATAAAACTGTAAGAGCAATGACAGTATTAATTGCATCAGTTCCCTTTTCTGGATCACAGCAGTGAAAACAATGATTTGAAACACAAAACTTTACAACTCCACCTAGTTTAATACACAAATTGACACAATTAAAAGCAACTACTTAGATGAAATTCAGAGAGATGAAAAACTATACAGGACACCTGAGATAGCCTCGTACAGGTTATATAATATTATAAGGATAAATCACGTGGCTAAAAATCCCAACCTTGTATTTGCTGACATAGTAATTTCATAACTTTTAACCTTCAGAACTGTGTACTTGTAGAGATTAGTCTCCTTAGAATTTCTTGTAAGTTTTGAATTGCTACATTAAAGGTGTCACAGAATCTCAATTCTTGCTTTTTCACATGACAATCTAACAACTGATTTCAGTAATGAACAATTAACCTACCTTATGCATCCATATTCTTCCTTTCCTTATAATATGTGTTAATCTATCCACGCACACTCTGTGAAGCGGCAGGTAGAAGCCAAGTTCACTTTGTGGAAGTATAATTGATAGTCCATATGTGCTTCTGTCTCCATTCCAGTTTCCATCAAAGATTAATGACACAATGATTACCCTTTTTTCTGCCAAAACAAAGAACTTCACATCTATTGCACCACTTTCTGCATTCCGGAGTATTTCTCCATTCAGAGTGTGGTTAGCAAGAAAAGTTATTTCGCCATCACTGAGAAGTACCTGTTCTGTCTTCGGAGCCCAGATATGCCGCACTCGGGGGCCAAGAATATTGTCCCAGTAAGCAAAAGTGGCAGCTAATAAAGGTGACTCGCCATTCAAAGAGATCTCTGTTTTAGCAACTGCAGGAGACGGTGGTGGACAAAGAGCTGACATGCCTGTTTCCTCTCTCGTGTGTAAATGAAATGCTTACATTACCTAAAAAAAAAAAAGTTTTTGCAGGAAAAAACAATAAATTAGAGCAGATCTCATTATCATCTCATCTTATTTTTACATGACCAGATATTGATAGGACAAGGGGAAGGTGTTTTAAACCAAGAGAAGAGATATTTAAATTAGATGATAGGAAGAAATTCTTTACTGTGAGGGTGGTGAGGCACTGGAACAAGTTGCCCAGAGAAGTGGATGCTCAATCCCTGAAAGTGGTCAAGGCCAGGCTGAATGGGGCCCTGAGCAACCTGATCTGGTGGGTGGTATCCCTGCCCAGGGCAGGGTGGGTTGGAACTAACTGATCTTTAAGGTCCCTTCCAACCCAAGCCTTTCTACAATTCTTTTGTTTCCAAATAAGACTCTCAACCTGGCTTCTACACCTGAGATTTCACTGTAGACTTCATTAATTCAGAAGTGTGTATACATATATATACACACACACACATACATATATACATATATATATATATATATATATGTTGCACATAATGAAGAGGTATGCTTTACAAACGTTAGTCAGACGCCAAATAGCCTTTACTCACTACAGAAGTATGAGGAGCCTGCACAACACACAACTTCCGTAAGGAAACTCACATGATAAATACATCCTTTACATCACTGTGGTGTGCAGCGTGTTGTGATACAAGGCAAATGCTCAGCACTTTATAGAATGTACTGATGCATAATTCTTTATCTTATGCAGAAACAGTCCTTAAACACTTTCCCTAGCAGCGTCCAACAACTCTACAGCTTCCCCCTTCTGATGGGGCTGCAGAAGATAACAGGAAGTTCCATCTCCCCTAAAAGTTATGCTACAGCCACAGGAAGACATTAAAAATAAGTTCTACAAACAAACGCAACCCAGGACGGAAAGCTGTAACAGCTAAAACCCACTCATCTCGAGGAAACCTCCCATGACCAGAACTCAGCTTTCCTGTCCCGTCTGCCTGCAGCACCGCACAGGACAGGAGAGGGAACACCCACCTTACTACAGCAGCTCTAACTCAGCAGACCTCTGTATCTGAACTTATTTTCCCTTGTGAGTGACCCACACAGGATCTTCCACGTGCATTTCCTCACACCAGGGGCGTAAATCCCCTTTCTCTCCGGCTCCTATTCAGGATACGCTGGTGCCCCGCCCGGGGAAGCCGAGGCCCACTGACTTGGCCATCTGACACCGTGATTTCAGGGTTTTCAGAGAAGACAAGGCGCCAGCCGCTCGTGCCTCCCTGCATGAGGGGCCGACCAGAGGCTCGCTCTCCCCCCCGCCTCTCCAGCCGCGGCACCTCCGCGCTCCCGGCCCGGATCAGGCCCGTGTCGCACTCTCCGGGTCTGGTCTGAACCTGCCGGGGAGGCGGATGGGGAAACAGCTGCGGGGAGGCTGCTGCGAGGACACCCCGCTCTCCCCCTCGCACAGCGGAGGGACCGCTGGCCCGGCCCCAGCACCGACAGCCCCTGCCCGCCCCGGCCCCGCGCCCCCCTCACCTCCGCTCCAGCCGCCGCTCCGCGCCTGCGCCGCCCCGCCTCCGCCCCGCCCGCTCCTCGCGGGCTCCGCAGGCGCGGAAACGCCTCGGGCGGGGGGAGCGGGGCGGCGTGTCCTGGCTGAGGGGAGCGGGGCCGGTGTGTCCTGGCTGAGGGGAGCGGGGCCGGTGTGCCCTCCGTGACCCGGGGAGCGGGGCCGGTGTGCCCTCCCCGGACGGGGACGGAGCGGGGCGCGGCGGGCGGGTCACAGCTCAGTGCGGCTTGTGGAGGAAGCCAGAAAGCGAAGCCATGTGCCAGGTGCATCCGTTTATGGAGGGGCTTTTAAGCTTTAGAAGACGAAGCCAGCAATGTCGGCATTGGGTTACTGTTCCAAACATGCAGAACAGTGACGGTGCTCGTGGGTAGACCTCGTTTAGTTTTGCAGGTGTATGGAGAATACCTTACCTTCCTCTTCCTTGTGCAGTCCTGTCTGAGGGCCTGCAGGGAAGCCGTAGAGGGACTGTATGTTAGGAATTATAGTAATAGGACAGGGAGTAATGGGTACAAATTAAAAGAAGGGGAAATTTAGTTTAGGTATTAGGAAGAAATGTTTTGCTGTGATGTTGGTGAGATAGTGGAACAGGTTGCCCAGGGAGGTTGTGGATGCCCCATCCCTGGCAGTGCGCAGGACCAGGTTGGACAAGGCCTTCAGCAACATGGTCTAGTGGGAGGTGTCCCTGTCCGTGGCATGGGGGTTGGGATTAGGTGATCTTTAAGGTTCATTCCAAACCCTTCACATGTTATGATTCTATGATTAAAATCACCATCGTCACATGTGAGAGGCATGTGTTTATTTACAGCCTAGAAAGGAAACCTGAGGAGTAGTACCGTGAGGTATCCTGAGGAGTTGTGTCTTGAGCAGGCTGAACATGTCCATATGGGAAGTCTTAATAGCATGCAAGAGACCTGAATTGTGCTTTTTTTGAGTCATACCCTCCCAGTTTATGCACAAAAATCACCCTCCTCAAAATTCTCTGAATCACAAAATTGTTAGGGTTGGAAGGGACCTCTGGAGATCATCTAGTCCGACCCCCACCAAGGTAGGGTTATCTAGAGCTGGTTACACAGACATGTGTCCAGGTGAGTTTTAAATGTCTCCAGAGAAGGAGACTTCCTGGGCAGCCTGTAAAAATTCCTTTAATAATAGGCAATTGTATAGAATCACATTGAAAAATGTAGTCTTCAGCCAGCTAAAGTTTGCCTTTTATGTTACTTGAATTAATGGTTTTAAAAATAAACACTAAACATAAAATGACTTATGTGTTGGATTGTAATTTTAGCTTCTGAGAAGCAGAGCTCCAATAAAAGTAAATGACTAGATAAAATTTATGCACCCATTGCACAAAACCTTGGAGGCATAGCAGAATTAAACTCTAGTTTTAAAAGTTGTTGCTATTTAATTTGTTGAATTCAAAGATTAGGCATCACTGTGGAATTTCGCTACTTACCTCTTGTCTAAATGTTAATCTGTGCAGTTTATAAAAATAGGGTTTGTGTCTTTAATAAGATGGTATAAACTGATTGTCATGTAGTTGTAGACACCAAGCTCTACAGTAAGGAAAGTGCAGTTGATATTAGATCAGTGGTGGTGTAGAATAAGTGAGTCTCTCTGAGTGCTGCAGTGCTAGTGTTGGCAGAGTGGAATTTCTGCCTGTCATAGCAATGTGGTCGTTGCCTTTTTCTTTTCCTTTGCTTTTGCATACTTTCTTCTCACAGAGTAACAATTCCATTGCATATAATCTGAAAAGACTAACAATATTTCTGCAGGTGCCTTTTGTGGGCAGGTCAGAGAAGGTACAGGCTACAGTGCAGGCAGATATTTTTCCCCTGACAGAGAATACATCTGGCTATGAAACCTAATGCTGCACATCTGCAAAGAAATTAGAGTATGAAACACCGAGAAGATGAAAATGAGCTCAGGCACTGAGCTCAGGCAAAAACACATCACAATTTTTTTATATATTTATGATTTTAGTATGGCATCCTGAAGCATTATCGTGACTGATGTCATGCTCTAAAATAAGGGAGTACATAAGCAAAAAGGGAAAGAAAGAAAACAAAATATAGTGGAATTCAGGTGCTCAGCCTCGTGGAGAAAGGCCATGGAAGCATAAGATATTACCAGCTGCCTTGCTGCAGTGAAACTATGCATGCACTCAGACCAATGCAAGTCTGCATCGCTGCATAAAACTGACCTTGAATAAAGCTAATTTCACAGTAATAAAATGAATATTTTTCAGACAGCTTAGATTGCCACAAAATTAATACCCAAGATAAGGGAGAGCAAATGGGAAGGATTGGTTGAGGTTGCAAGAAGCAGGAACACTCAATGGCAGTGTGGAAATCAGTGCTGAGGTTATGGTTTATTGCACGTATAAACAACATGAAGGCAGGTTTAGAGGAAACAAAGCTTGGCCTCCCTTGTCCCTAGCTATTCAGTACTATAAGAGGTGAATGATGGAACTTTCATCAGTACTTCTGGTTGATGGTTTAAGGCTGTAGTTTCACATCCACATTAAAACCAGTGAAGTGTGCTTGCACTGTCACTGCGTGTTTATCGAGTCTCTTGTTACTAGTTTTAACTCATTTTTAGAAACACTGGCTTCAGGAGGTGCTAGAGCCCATGCAAATTTGAGCTTGACCTGTGAATATAAATTGATTTCACACAACTTCTAGTATTGATTCTAGCTGCATCCCACCAGATGTTTGTGTCTGAGTGGTGCTATCCCTGACTGCTCTCACGATGTTCTTACTTCACAGATGACAGAACCAGAGAATCAGTCAGGTGGGAAGGGACCACAGTGGGTCATATGGTCCAACTTCCCTGCCCAAGTGGGATCATCCCAGAGCACATTGCACAGGATTGTGTCCAGACAGATCATCTCCAGCAACAGAATGCTATGATATTAAATGACAGAATGCTATGTTATTAAAATTATTAGAAATGGCTCTGCCCAAATTAAGGTGCAAATAAGACCATATGCCAAAGTCAGTAGTATGGATTTTATTTAATAGTAAATGTGAGGCAGAGAAAGAGAAAGAAATAGGAAAAAGGAGTAGCGGGGAAGAAAGAGAGTGACAGATACAGGGATTAAATAGAGAATGTGTCACCACTCCATAGAACTCAGTGGCATCCCATGGGTCCTCTTCTAGTCTGCTTGGTGGTGAGGGTCCCACAAAACATAGAGTCCAATGGGGGAAGCTTTGCAGTCTCTTGTGACAGGTTCTGGATTTGTTGCATCACTTGCATCACAGTGCAGTCCTCTGGTAGTGGAAGGCCTCAGGAATGAGTCGGGTGGGGGGAAGGAGGGGATCTTTCATGGTTTATGACCCCTTCTCAGCTGCCTCTCCTGTGAATGTCCCGTGTATATGTGTTCTATCTGGAGGGGGTGTTTTACTCCTTCTGCTTTGTGTGGAGAGATTTTGCCATCACACACCCAAACCCCTTCTCTTCCTTCACCTGCTGAGCTTTGTTTACTTCTCCTTTGACCTCAGCTAATTAGTCAATAGTCTTATCTCAAGTTCCGATCACCAGTCGGGAGGCACACTGGCGGGGCGGTGAGGGAGTGCTTCGGTTGTTGCTTCCTTGCAGTTTGACAAAAAGTTTCTATGATTTTGACAATGGTTAAGACATTAACAACATTTCATTCTATCACACAGACTCCCCAACCTCTCTGGGCAATTTGTTCTCATGCAATCACTAAATGCACGTGACAACGTAGGGACCCATTAATTTCTGTGACAGAAAGCAGCTTGCAATTCTAGACTCACTCCGTGGAAGTTAACAATTTTCAAAATGAAAGTGAGGTATCCAGAATTTTGAAGTGCTGAGGTATTTTATCCTTTTTTTTTTTTATGAACCTTTTACACAGGGAAAGGGTAATTCAGTCCCCTAAAGAAAAGTGTTATATCTCTTCCAGCCCACATGACTGGTAAAATTACTACAGAAGATCTATATAGATGAATGGTGGAATGAAGAATATACGTGACAAAAGAGCTTTCAGCAAATAGCTATGTTCAGGGAACACTCGGCTTCCTCACCTATCCTGGCTGGATATGTGCTCCTAAATTTTACAAAACAGCCCTTCAGCTCCGTACAGGTTGGATAGATAGACTGTGGATTTAGGTGGTAAAGATCATAGAATCATAGAATCATAGAATAGGTAGGGTTGGAAGAGACCTCCAAGATCATCAAGTCCAACCCCTGATCCAACTCCAATTACTATATCATGGCACTAAGGGCCACGTCCAATCTCTTTTTAAAAACCTCCAGGGATGGTGAATCCACCACCTCTCTGGGTAGGCCGTTCCAATGTCTGATAACCCTCTCTGTAAAGAATTTTTTCCTAACATCTAACCTAAACCTCCCCTGGCAGAGCTTGAGCCCATGTCCCCTTGTCCTATTGTTGGTTGCCCGGGAGAAGAGACCAACCCCCGCCTGGCTATAACCTCCCTTCAGGTAGTTGAAGAGAGTGATGAGGTCGCCTCTAAGCCTTCTCTTCTCCAGACTAAACAACCCCAGCTCCCTCAGCCTCTCCTCATAGGACTTGTGTTCAAGTCCCTTCACCAGCCTCGTTGCTCTTTTCTGGACCCGCTCCAGCACCTCAATGTCCTTCCTGAACTGAGGGGCCCAGAGCTGAACACAATACTCAAGGTGTGGCCTCACCAATGCAGAGTACAGGGGAAGGATCACTTCCCTGCTCCTGCTGGCCACACTGTTCCTGATGCAGGCCAGGATGCCATTGGCCTTCTTGGCTATCTGAGCACACTGCTGGCTCATGTTCAGCCTCCTGTCGATCAGCACCCCCAAGTCCTTTTCTGCCTGGCTGCTCTCCAGCCACTCTGTCCCCAGCCTGTAGCGCTGCAGGGGGTTGTTGTGGCCAAAGTGCAGGACCCGGCACTTGGCCTTGTTGAACTTCATTTCATT